CAAGGCCACACATTAAAACCAAAAAAAAAAAAAAAAATATTAACATTATATAACAAGAAATAAGCAATTCACTAACTATATATTAAAGATAAAGAAGAAAAACTAATTAATGAATAGATTCAAGGAGAAAATATAAGAAAGACCCTAGCCAACTAATATAAAAAGATGAAATATTGTAAGAAATAGCATATATATACAAATAGATTATTTATAAGTAAAGATAAGCCTAAAAGTCTAATCAAGAAAAAGATAGATATAAGGTGAATTGCATACCCAATAGTGGCTTGAAAAAAAGATATAGTAAAAGCAGTACAATTAAATAAAGCAATATTAAATTGGCTATCATTTATATATACAAAGTTAGAAGCCATTATAACAGTATTGTTAGTAGTTTTAGTATAAAGTTTAGTTAAAATCTTTATAGACAGTGCTAATACAATAAACTTGATTAAAAAAATTGTAAAAAAAAAAAAAGTAAGAGAAGAAATTAAATTAAGCAATAACAGCCTAATAAGAGTAATATTAAAGTGCCTAGAAGAAAAAATATTACATAGAATTTAGTTAAAATTAAAGCCTATACTAGTATTGAAAGAAATGAAAAAGCAGACAAGTTGGTCAAACATGAACTTAAAAGTAAAACAAGCTTTACAATAAACTTAGATTGGGTTGCTAGTTTAAAGATAGTACTAGAATAGAAGGGTTATATAGTAGACAAATTTTTGTGAAAGTTTGTAAAAGAAGTTACAAATACAATATTTAATGTAAATTAGAGCCAACTCTCAAAAATTAGTAATAGAATAAATAGTGAACAATTAGATATAAAACTAGATTAGAAAAGTATATGAAGGTACTAGAAAAAATTAAAAGGCATTATTGTAGAAGTGAGAAAAGTAGTAAAAGATAGGTATAAAAAATCAAATATATAGAAAAAAGTATATTTACAATATTAATACTGTACAAAAGATATCCAAAAGCAAACTTTGTATAGCTTGTTGCAAAAAAATAAAGACATTAGAGCACCTGGCAGAACATGATATATATAAGGCTTTTTGAAGAAAAATAAAATCAAAAAGATATAAAAAAATCAAAAAGATAAGTGATGCTAATTTATGCAGAATAAAAAAAACAAGCTTTAACATAATATTAGAAGGAAACCAAAAAGACAAATATGAGAAGTAAAAACTAATAATCTTGAATTTAATTTTATTAAACAAGAACAAAAAAGTAATAAAAGAAAAACAAGTCAAATACAAAATATTTAAGATAGTTAATAAGAAATTTTTTTAAAAAATAAGAAATTTTAGATATAAAGTAGTTGTAGAGTAGAAAGAAAAAAACAAAATAGAAAAACAAAAAAAAAAAGAAAAAAAAAACACAGAAATAAATCTTATTTTAGAATAAAAAAAAAGTAAAAGAAAAAAGGAACTCTAGAGAAAGTAAAGAGAAAAAAGCATTTACAAAAGCAAATAGCAGAAAAAGAAAAAAAAAAGCTTCAAAGAATTTATAAATTAACTAAAAGTATAATACAAAGATAGATACAAGGCTTTTTAAAACCTGTATGGCTTTTCTTAATCAAACCAAAAATAAAATAAAGGAGATTTTGATAAAGCTAGCAAGAGCTTAACAATAATATTGACAAGAAGCTTCTAGACAGTTAAAAAACTTGTAATTAAGAAAAAATTTTTGCTGTGGCAGATTGCATTTAGCATCTAGATAACTGGATAAGTCTTTATTGTGCAAGAGAAAAAATTGTTACTTTAGTAGTAATTATTTTTAGAGTAGATAACTATTTATATCTCTTATAATAAAAGCAAGATTGTCCAAAAAAAATAAAAAAATAAAAAAATAAAACCAAGCAAATATTTGTTAATAATTTTTTTTTAAATCTTTAAACAAAAATAACTTAATAAAAATTTGCTTAATTCACTTCTATATATACTATAAATTATATAAAATATTTTACAAAAAAATTACTATAGTGCAGGATATCTAGTCATAATTGCTTATAGTAAAAGTTTAATAACTTTTTAAAAAATAATTTTTTTAAAGAAAAACTTTCTATTGTCATGTTTTTTGAGATCTAAAGAATAAAATTATAGAGATTTTTTTTTAAAAAACCTTCTTATTAAAAAGTTATTTTAATTTAAAAATTTAATTTTATAGTAAAATTAAAAAATTCAGCATTAATTAGTGCCAAAATTTTAGCATTTGTAATATATTTTGAATTTTAATTTAATAAAATTTTAAAATTTTTTTTTTTTTTTTTTTTTTTTTTTTTTATTCACACTCTTTTTAAAATTTCAGCGCTATATATATAATTTTTTATACAGTACCGGTCCACTCTATACATAAAGAGCGCCAATTTTTGATGTTTATATAATCAATCCTGATTGGCTAATTTTGATGTAATTGTTCTAATTGGTTAAATCATTATTAAAACAAAAAATAATAGAAAATCCTCCGACAAAAATGTAGTTTGGCTAATTATCTATAAATTTGTCGAAGGGTTTTTTTGATTTAACTTGTTTAAAAAAAGTTATAATAATTTAAAGTTTTTATTAATAAAAAGTGGATGTGTTTTGCTGTCCGGTACTGTATAATTTTTAAAATTCAGCGCCATTTATATATACTTCAAAATTCAGCACTGTGATGTCTTTAGATGTCCCGCACCATACAAAAAAAACTTTTTTTAAGCTTAATTTTCTTTAAAATATTTTAACATACATCTTTGTGACGGATTAAAGAATACAGTCTACTCTCGTTTATATCAACCTACTGTATTTGAATTAGTTTAAATTCATGTTAATAGTGATATTAACAAGAGATTATAATAAAGTTGATATATATGAGGGAATTTTAATATATAATGATATGTAAAAATTCATCTTATAACTTTGATATTAACGGGGGTAGACTGTAATCAAAAATTTTTGCAAAATTTGACCCGGCCCAAGTAATAAAAATTAATTTATTAATAAAAAGCTTAAGCTTGATTTTGACCAATCATAGTCTTTGCTGATCAGCCAATAAAAACAAATTTTTATTATGCTCCCTCATGCGCAATTTGACTTGGATATATCGACATTGGTATTACAATGTATATAGTTCTCAATGAAAACTATCTGTCTTTACATGAAGACAAGTTGAAATAAAAATAATAATGACTCACCGACGCGAATCATCGGTCCATGAAGTTAAGGAAACCCTAGACGCTACGGTCACTGAAACAAAAGAAGGCGAACGTTGTTTAAACAACTATATCCTGAAAGACGTTATTGGTCAGGGTGCTTATGGAACGGTCACCTTAGCTATAGACAAGTACACTGGAGAAAAATTTGTAAGTTATTGAATGTCGTTATAGTCTGACTTTTAATTTACAAGCGGGGGTCGAAATTTATCATTTTATAAAAAACAAGTCAAACGCTGTCTTTAATTCTTGTTTAAAAAAAAAAAAAAAAAAAAAAAAAAAAATTCGTTTTTGTCGCGATAACATTCTTATGCAAAACTAACTATAATTGCCATATATTCGACTTTTACCTCACCACATTGCATGCAAAAAAAATAAAAGGCTATTAAAGAATTTAGTAAAGCTCGACTTCGTAAAAAAACTAAATCTAACGTCTTTCGTCGTCCGCGTGGACGCGGTCGTGGGCGTTTTGGTAGAGCTATTGAAAATCCTGATCCATCATCATCGGACCCCCTTCTTTTAATTCGTGGCGAAGTTGCAGTCTTGAAAAAATTAAGTCATCAAAATGTGGTCAAATTGTTCGAAGTGTTGGATGATGAACAGGATTCTTTATATATGGGTAAGAATTTTTTTGTATATATTCTGGTTGTGAAATTTAGAATTACTTTCGGTTAATTCGACTTATAATAATTATAATTACTACAGTTTTCGAAATTTGTGAAAAAGGTGTTCTTATGGATATCAGCATTCAGAAGGCAACGACGCCATTTCCTAACGAAGTTGCTAGACGTTATTTTAGACAAATGATACTTGGATTCGAATATTGTAAGCATTATTATTTAAGATGTAATTTTCATACGTATGATCTAACTTTTGAGGTTAATCTCATGATTTATGACCAATTTCATCTTTTTTCTTTTATACTTTACGATTAAATAGTACATGAACATGACATTGTTCATCGCGGTATTAAATATAATCATTATGAAGTGATTTTATGATGCAAATTATGAATAGTTATATAGATTTTATTCAATTTATTTGATTCAGATATCAAGCCCGATAATCTTCTCTTGTCTGCAGAAGGTGTCCTCAAGATTGTAGATTTTGGTGTATCTGAGATGTTTACTCAAGGGAATGATAAAATGAAAAAATCTGCTGGTAGTCCAGCTTTTATGGCACCGGTAATGTCATTTTAACTATGGAACATTTATTTAATGGTCTTTATAATTATTAATAGCAGCTAATAAATAAATCATATTTCCCAACTAATAATTATTTTTATATTCTTGTTCACAGGAATTATGCGTGGGTAAACAATAATAAAGATTTGCTTATACATATTTATCATAGCAAAGCTAGCACATAATTATACTTGGACTAATTGCTTATAATTATTTTAGCCAATCGCGGTGAAATTTCCGGAAAGGCTGCAGATATTTGGTCTATGGGTGTGACTTTGTATTGTCTTATTTTTGGACGTTTGCCTTTCGTGAAAGATAACGTAGTTGACTTATTTGAATCGATAAAAAATGACGAGTTAGTTTTCATTTATCTAAAATATTTTTTTAACTTTAATCCAACATAACTGTAACGATTACTTTTTCGCTGTTGTACATTATTAGCATTACTATTCCAGAAGGTTCGAATCCAGATCCAGACGTTGTGGATCTTCTTCATAAAGTTCTCGAAAAAAATCCAGAGGAAAGAATTATTATGGCCGAACTAAGAGTTAGTTATTCTTTGTTTCTTGAATTGCGCCTATCTATACAGTAGAGTGACTTTTTTTTGTTTATCAAAAGAAACATCCATGGGTAACTAATCGTGGAAGCGATCCTCTCATATCAACTTTTGCAATACTTTAGTTCACTTGACATTTGTAACGATTAATAAGTAAAGAAAAATCATTTTTATTAAATTGATTATTAAAAATACAATAATAATAATCGTCATCATTATTACTAATAATTAATGCTGCATTTTAAATTTAAGCTCAGATACGTAACTTTTTTTGGGGGATACTAGGTTCATGCACAAATTGTTCACCCTGTAATTTTGACCAATCAAATTTTAAGATCAGGTGTAATGTGATAGTCAAAACAAACGTGTTTTGTTTTCAAAACTAAACCGCGTTATAGTTAGGGCTAGAGTGAGAACAACCGATCATTCGGACCTTCAATAGTCTTCTGTTTCCTAAAAGTAAAAATAATTAAAATATGTCGACAACATTCTAACCTAAACCTATCCAAATAATTATAGATCAACTTAAAATTAATCAGACAATGTTCCAAGAATCATTTGCACAGAATATGTCGAAAATTCTCTAAGAACCGGAGGAATCATCTGAGTTCATCAGTAAGTGTTTATATGATTGTTTCGTTGCAAGCATTTCTTTGTAATTTACAGTTATATCATTTTTTCAGAGTATCACATTGTATATTTCCAAGCTCTGCCCTGCATTTGTTGGTCTCTCTTGAACTTTATTTCCTATATTATTGGCGCTGGATTATACACCGATAGGAACAGCACATACATACTCTTTTACAAGAATTTGGAGCAAATTTACAATGCAGAAAATGCGACGGAAATTTAAAAAAGAAGCGCAAAAAAACTTTTAGACAAAAAGAAGGTAGTAAACTATTGTCCAATGTGTCCAATATTGCTTTTTACTTCCTATGAAGTATTTCCAGCTAATTTTTTGTAAAGGCGGACCTTGCAGTAGTAAATCGCGCCTGGAGGAAAAACGACCAAACTTCTTTGAGTGATGTGACTAACACATGCGTAGGAAAAAGAAAAAATGCCGAATACACTACGATCATATCGCAAAAAAAACAAAAGTTCGATACTCCAAGTAAGTAAATGATGAAATTAGCTTAGACCTAAGAAATTGATTTTATGCCATGACTAATGTAGTAGAATGATTAAATCTACTAGTTATTTGTAGTAATTATGATATTAATTATGGTGGATTTTGAATATATTCGGATTATGACCTGTTGAGATTTGTACCTGACCTATTTTTTTGGGTATCAGCCCATTTCGATGATAGCTAATTCATTCTCTGAGAACTATAGTTATGGCACAACAATCGGCAGTCCCTTACCAGTCCAACAAAGATGATCTTGTTATTTTACATTTTACCCAGCCATTGATATTTGTATATTTGTACTGAAAACTTTTATTTAATAGCCAGGTTTTGGCATGAACTAGTCAATTTATCAATCTGATTTGTCTAGTCCGAGGGATTAATATTGGTTAAATTGGTCAAATTGCATTATCAATTAGGCCAGACTTTTTAACTAGATAGTCTGATCAGAAAACCTTCTAGCAAATTTTGATTTGGCACCTAGTTAATAACTGAAAAATTGTTTCCTAGAGTTTTTGCTTCAAATTGTACGTTACATGTCAATATTACAATAAGATTTGGTAATAATCGCAAGACCCACAAAATTTTTGCGCCATAACTATAGTTTGAATTGGCCCTGATCTAGAGATATTGTGACTAATATTATAGTAATTTCTGATAAGATATTTTCTCATTATGTTCACTATCGTTTCATTTTTTAACATCTACCTTGTAATTTTATTCTTTCCAAATTGCATCTAACGATCTAAAAACGACGAGTATTGATGGTGCAATGGAAGATTTCGAAAATGAAATTGAAAGGTTTTCTTTGGAGTTAAAGCAGGTCGTAACAAATATGTACGAACCTTTCGAATATTATAAGGCTCCACAGAACCATCCGCATAAAAGTTCCATAGACGAAAAAAAATTCCTATGTTAGAGGAAAATCCTCTCTTTGTTTTGCATGCCCTTCCTAAGCAAAACAAAGAAGGATTTGCCAATATTGAATCCTTTGAAGCATACACTTCAGGGGAAGCATCATACAACGGCATGTCATTCGTTATGGGAACCTCTGGATGTGGTAAAACTCATCTTTGTTTGGAACTTTTATGCAAAGAATATGGACTATACTTCGTCGGCGAACCATCGAGTTTTGGTTCTGAAGATTTAAAAAATGCGGCTGAATGGACCATGAAAAGCATAAATAGGTTCCCTGAAGAAGCAAAACTAATTGCTGAACGTGCAATATGGAGTTGTGTAACTGCGCGGTTAGTTTTGCTTCATTACCTCCTCAAATTTGCTAAACAACATGACATGGTGATAGAGCCCAAGTCATGGTTGTTTTGCCAACTTTTTCATCCAATCCTTGATAAATTACAGAAAATATTTATCAATGTGGATATAACGTGCCTCGAAAACTATGGGATTACAATTATGAAAGAAATAAATGATCTAATTAACATTAAGTGCTTTTTTCCCATAGTTTACGATGAGGCACAAGCACATATATCAATTTTGCCCAACATATTTCCGTCCCAAGAAAAGGAGAAAGCAAGACCATTTTTCTCATGGTAGTTCAGACATTGGCAGCTCTACATTCAGAGTATGCAAACGTAATTGTTCATATATGTGGATCAGGACTATCATTGTTGCATGCGAAAGAGCTAATGATGCCCGACATAGAGTAATTTAAGCATATCATATTTTAAATTGCCATACTATTTCAGAACCTTTGGCTAACTTATATTCAACTTATAGCATTCCAGACTTCAGCAATTTTGGTGCAGTCGAAACCCCGAACAAATCATTCAGATGGTAACGAATATCATTCTATTAGAGGATAATCTTGCTTTGTCTGCGATTAAATGGCTGATGGTATTTTATGATACTTTTTTTTATTCTGTTTAATGTTAATATAGTCTGGAATATGAAGATTTTTCTTTAGTAGAATTTAACAGCTATGAGATTAAAAATAAAATCTCAAATGTAAGCTTATTATGATATTTTGTTAGGTTATATTGAATAAAATTAATCTTTATTTTACTAGCTCGTAACGATATATCCCCGCATGCCAACAATTATGAGAATAATCTGCGATAACATACAAAATGAAAAATTAAGTCCACGAGATCTACTTACCAATGGCATTGTTAACCATACTTTTTTACAAAAGTACCATAAACGATTGTTTGATCTCATTGTAGAGCAAGATTGTTTGGAGGAATTATTATGGAGTAAAGCTGAACGAAGTCAATATAAAACGAATTTGATGGTTGAGGAAGAAAATTTTATATGCAATCATATTAAACATGGATATTGTACCGCATCCAACAGTCGAGAAGACGCCAAAAAATTTTATAGTTGCTTAGAAATGTTTTTGAACCAACTGGAATGTGCTTGGGAACTACCATTATATATACAAAAATCTTCCAAAATTAACGAAAGTTCAAGGTCAGGTATCAAATTAAGTTTTTTATTGTACAGTATAAATAATTTGATTCTTTGCTCAATACTAACCTTTAACACACTTTTTTTTTACGTAAATTTGGGTCAGGTCTTCGCGTAGCAATAATTAGGTCAGATACATTACACAATTTTTGAGACTATAAATCAATAAAATATGTTCTCTATTTGAGAACATTAAACAAATTCTTTTGATATGAAAAAAAAATTGAATTTTCCTATGTAGAGAACATTAAAAATTTTTTAAGAACATTAAAACTAAAAAATATAATTTTTGAGGACATAAATTCAAATTTTAATTTTAAACACTGGTCAGATATTTTATTGATTTTTTTTATTGCATAAATAATTGATTTTTTGCTCAATTATAACTTTAACTTTCTTTTGACATAAATTTGGTCACGTATTTCACGTAGTAATAGCTAAGGTCAAGTATCATATTATTACTGTATTATTATTATTTTACATAAATAATTTGATCTTCGCTCAATACTAATTTTAACTTTCTCTTACATAAATTCGAGTCAGGTTTCATATTAATTTTTTATTACATAAATAGTTTGATTCTTCGCTTAATAGTAACTTTATTATTATTATTATTATTTTTACATATTCCTTGTGTAGCGATAATTATGTCAAGTGCCATATTAATTTTTTTTATTGTATAAAGAATTTGATTTCTCACTCAATATTAACATTAAGTTTCTTTTAAATAAATTCGAGTCAGATATCCCATAGTTATAATTAGGTCATTAATTTTTTTTATTGTATAATTAATTTGATTCTTCGCTCAATACTATAACTTTTTTATATAAATATAAATTCAGATCAGGTTAGTGATTGGACCCGTCAAAAAAAATGCCACCCGGGTCACCCGCGGGTGGACAGCATAAATCTGATTGGATAATCAACCGAAATGTTACACAATATGAAAGACATATTAGCGTAACGTTTCGCAGCAACAAAAATGGATTGGCAGCCACGGGTACGAATTGGCAAAGCT